AAGGAACGTGTTTTGGGGAGCTTCGAGCTTTGGTGGTTCCACCTACCAAGAAAAAGCAGTATCTTTAATTTTAAAACTTTTTGAAATTTTTTCACTTCTTAAAGTTAAGCTAGCATGTTAAAAGTGTATTGTTTATAGGGCTTATTGTACCCTGAGCAGTAGCTGGTGGCAGTCTCAGCGAACATCATGCAAGAGACACCTGACACACAATATCCTGATTAAATGGGGTAAATTAGAGAGCAAAGGTTTTCAGCTTTCTGACAAATAACTCCATACCAGCTATTAGGGACTGTACACCTGAGGAGATCTCTTGAAGCAGCATTTGTCAGATGTCCAATGCTCTTCTGACTGTTCTACTATCTTTCGGACAAGGATTCTGTAATTGACTTCAACTCTGAAGGACAATGACTTACCCATTTGCTCAAAATTGGGAAAAGCATAGAAAATTATACAATTGTAGGTGAGAAGTATGAGATCATTCTTGGACAAGGTGATAGATAAACAACAGACAGATCCTGATCTGATACTCTAGCCCCTGTAGAAGTAGTAGAATAAAACCTACCACAAACAAGGGTCCTGTTAAAATGAAACACAGTTTCATGTTGATGTCTTGTACCATCATTTATCCTTTTAAACTTGTGGACACATTTGAAGAGACCCTCTTCCTCACAAGGCTCCATAGGTATGTGTATAGTGAAAGACACTGAAATGGATAAAAAGAACGCAAATGATGGCTAAGTGCCTGACAGTGACATTGAAATAAAAATTTGAACCATGTAGCATATGTCCACATCAACAAACCAAATATGGTAACAGTACTGTAGTAAGCCCAGGGGTCAAACCGAAATTTTTTTTATAAAAAAACATCAATGGTAGACTTTTATTATATGACAGTGAAAAAAGATTTGATTGAAAGAAAAATAATCAATTAATTAAAAAATTCACTTACCTGAACGAATGTCACTTTCGGCCATTTGTTTCTCCTTCATCTGCTGATATTTTTTCCATGAAATTTCACTGTTATAGTTGGGCCAAACCAACGAGCCAACTGGCGACATTGCTACCAGGAGTTTGAATGCTTGCTGCTGTGGCCCTTTCCTTAACCATCTCAAACTATTGTCGGTTTTTAAGTCCACATTCCCAGCAAAGCATTTAAGATCCAACACTTGAGTTCCATCATTTAAAACACTCTTAGTACTGTGGATTTTCATAAATGGTGATCCTGGTTGTAGACAACAAATGTGAATTATACAAATGTATTAAAAGATCTGAAAATAATCCAGTTATGTCAGAGGAAGATTGTTCCATTGAATTTGATGATTTAAAAACTGAAAAAATCAATCCTTGGTACTGGATACAAAATTCACAAGGGATGATTGTAAAATCAAACAATAGGGTTATAAGGTATGAAGATATACAAGTCCCTTACCATACTGGTCGCCAAATTCACCTGTGATTGTCCTCTTTTCATCACTGATTAGAATCTCTCCATTTTTTCCAGGAATTTTTTTAATAGGGCCATATTTCTTGGAAACAGAAAAAAATTTTTACTTAATATTTTGTGTTTTACTTTTTTTCCATTAATTTTTTTATTTCCTTTCTTAATTTGCATACAATTTTAACATGAATAATTATTTTGACAATTATGTCACCAATAATCTTATTAAACCGTATAAAAAATCTTTGGAAATTATAGTGATGTTCATGAAGATTTAGCGCAGTTTCATTATTCTAACATGAAATTTTTTTTAAAAAATGCGAGATATGCTAAGATAATCTTCGATTACAATGAACCTTGAAATAAAGAAAAATACATTTATGATACTAGACTATAAAGACTTAATGAAATAACCTACTCAGTTGATTATTTTCTACAGTAAAACTGTAGAATGACTTTTTTTGTGAATTATGATAAAGGTGATTTGGATTTAATTCTAATGCTTATAAGACATTAGAGGAAGTGCAATATAGCTTTTAAGCAAAATCATATACCCTTTTAGGGGTAGCCGCCTCCTGTGTCAGTGCTGATACAAGCAGAATGGAACCTGCAAGATACAAATATATTTCGGGTTATTTCCCTTCCATTGCAAAATATACATTCTCTTGCCTTGCCAGGTCATTTTACAAAGAACGTTTGTAATTAGTTCAAAGTATCTCCGTGAATTATTTCAGGAAGAGTTTGAAACAAATAACTCACCGTAAATAAGACAAAAACGAAACATTTGCAATATTCAACGATACTTTTTTTCCCGACGTCGTTTTTTGCTGACGTCACAACACCGAGAAATCGAAGTTACATTAGCTCTTGTAATACAGAAGAATGGCGGGAAAAGGTTGTGTGAGAATACGTGTTCCTTGAAGCCATCCATTCCTTTGATGATTTTTTTTTTTCAATGCATTTCAGCATTTATTTGAGTAACTTTATCTCTCATTCCGGACCAGTGAGTAGATCAACAGGTCATTAAAAATGTAATTATAAATGACTGCAATTTATTACATTTTAAAAAAAAGAAATGGAATGTGATGTAACATGGAAGGTTAATTGAATTACTTCTAACTCTAGTTAAATTGATTTCATCACAAATTTCCTGTATTCTCCAATTACATTTTAATTGATGCAAGGATACATGGGATTCATACTAGATGCTAGGCTATATGTTCAGAAGATGTTGTGAAGCAGACCTATATATATAAGACTATGTATTATTCAGTATTTTCATTGTGCCGTTATAACACTTTGTATCAGCAGTCCGTCGGTTTTCCCGCCTTGTAATTTATCCAAATCAAACGTGTGTTTTATATGGGTAGATCCAATCGGACTGAGATATCTCGTCGACGAAAGAGACCAATATAAGATTTTATTTATCTCATTCGAAAAAAAAATCTATTGAAAATGCATGTCACTTTTGTCTCTTAACTCTTGCCACATCAGCTTTTACACTGATAATATTTATTCTACTTAACCTGCACCGATTTTTGTAAAATCAGACATTTCAACTGTTTGTATTCAAAACTTTCTTTTATCTGACATTGACGTAATGTCGAATAAGGCAGAATGACAAATGTTCCAACTCGGATGTCATAGTAAGTCTACGACGTCTCCTGAGCAAGCACTAAAATACAGCCGTCCCTGCCGAATATTTATATCATCTTACTGGAAATAAACTGTAAAATGTTTTGTTTTTTGTCTTTCCTCACCCTTATACATTTTATACTCTGTGACACTGGCCATGTTTTCTCTCTGTTTGTCTCTTATCATATCCTACGAATTGGTGTCTTATTATTATTTTTTTTATTTTATTTTATTTATTTATCTGTTTATGTATTTTTTCTGATAAGATGTTTTTGCGATATTGTCATCGTTATCTGTTACCTTGGGTAATAATTGTTTAACCTTTTTAAAATTGAAGCGACTAAAAAAATCCAATTCAAATTTCAACAAACATGACCGGAAATATTATGTAAAGTTATGTGTTACCATAAAGTACAAATCAATTTCATATCATTTTCAGTCGGTACAAATGTCAATAAAGTGTGGCTTTGGAATGACTTGAATTAACTACAAAAGTATTAGAAAAAAGAGTTATTACAACTATTAATCGCTCTTTTATGTAATAAAAATGGTATTGAGTAAAAAATATGTTTATGAAAATCCAAGATGGCTATTACGTTTTTCCGATCAGTCCCAACTGGACTATGTACAACGAGCAATTTGGAGATCTACATGTATGACTGTCAAAAACCAAGATGACCGCGTGTCGGCCATTTTGTTTTTCCGATCATTACCAAAATGAATTATGGACAACTAGGGGACAAAGCGAGCCCATAAATGAAAGTTGAGACTGATTCGTCCAGTCCTTCAGAGCTATCTACAACAAGAACAAGGCAGAGGAACAAATAGCGATTTGAAAAGACGACCATTTGGTGGTGGTGATTTGATGTGAAATGACAACTTTCCAGGTGTAAATATGGTGGGTAACCTCATCTGACAAAACAAACAGAATGGAACCTGCAAGATACAATTTTGATTTGAAAGCTCTTGCGTTGTTTATCATAAAGTGAAAACATTGCAAATAGGACAAGAACTTAACAAGTCACGTTTTTCGTCGTAGTCTTCCTGACATTACGTCAGTGTTTGTACTGTTATATAAATTAATGGTGGGAAAAGATCAGGTATGACACGTGTCATCTGAAGTCTTTTATATAACTTCATACGCGTGACTCTTGCACGGTCTCGGGAAATTTTCATTAAATTATGAATTTCCGTGCCACCATTATGCGACAATCTTACTTTGATGTCACTATCCTACCATGTGTTCTCCAACTTCAAGTATGATTGTAGGGCTCTATGACGGGCATTCTAATTACGTGGACTTTTGGGATATCCTTTAGATACTTTACAATCTTACGAAATTTCATTATTTTTCATGGTCAGTTATATCAATATTTCTTTTTTTATGCCGTTTCCCAATTTTACATCACATCGTGAACTTTGTCCCTTGAATTGCAGGATTCCGTTGCACCAAGGACCAAGGAATAAGTAGATATCGAATCTAGATATCCAAGTCCATGGTTGCACCAATCAAATGTTCATAGCATACGCGTCAGTGACTGGAATATTGAGTTTTACCACCTCTCAGTGCACAACTTCCCTTTTCCGCCAGCGCTCAATAATATTGATCGATTTCGGATGAATCACCCTATCAAGTTACGGTTATGCGTTTCAAAAGAACACAACCCGAAATAAATTTTAATTTGCTTTATTTTTATTTCTAACATCCAAAACGCAAAATATTTTTCCTCTGCGAAGTAGGCTGTCGTGCTCAGCAGAGCGAGCTTTGTGATACGTAACTTATTACGTATAGCGTATTCATATGTACGGTCTAGTACTCTGCAGTCTGTTATGTCATGAAATCGGTTGAGGCTGTGTTCCCTATTTATTGAATGTAACCGCCCAATTAAATACTTCGCATGCTCGCAGGGTTATGGTGTGCCTTACAGATCACTTTAAGCGGCCTGTTAATACACTGAGAGCTGAGTGTCAAATTCGTGATAAAATAAATTGACAATCTTTCATAGGTCCATGGATTTATCAATGTCGCTCGTGGTCAAAGTTCTATTGTAATCCGGGCCGCAGATCCAAGCTTTTCTGTCGAGTCGAAGTCAGTGAAAGCGTTCGAAAGACACGGACTAGGCCTACAGAGATAAACAGACAAGGGAATATAGAGGGGAGATCCCTCCTCACAGCTATGGTTCCTTTATGGCTGTTTACAGCTAGCTTTGTTGGAGTTTTACTTCCAGATGGTAAGTTCTTTTTATCAATTTTCAGCATAATGTCATTTGGCTATTTCATTTGTGTCTCAGTTATTTGATTGGAAGCGACTGAAGTGCATATTTGTTCGTGACCGACATTCACGAACGTCTCTCTCTCTCTCTACTTTCTGTTGCGAAGTAATCATTTTTAATGCAGTTCATAGTTTGAAATAGTTTATGTTAATTTCAGACGTGCTTTTTGAAACAATTCGGTTATTATTTCTCATCCTTATGTTATATACTAAGTATAACACATACGCTATGTTGTATTTGATGTTTAGGTTGTGTCTGACGCTTGGTCGAACAGACACAGGTAAATCTAAGGTAAAGGTCAGGTTGTCGCCGTCTAGACGGGTCAATTAGGAACACCTCGGGGTAAACATCGTGCAAACGGACGAAAACGGCATTGCATCCGAACTTAGTTACTCGTTTTAATTTTTTATATACATGCTATATATAACAACGTGGAAATGATTTTTTTCAATAAATATTACATTCAGGTCATGTCGGTGAACAAAACCATGACTTTGATGTGGTTCATGTCACTCATTGAGCTCGTGATGTGTTTTGAAACTGACATATTAGAAGAAAAAATAAGATTGTACATATCAGTGTCTAATTTTCAGTCATGAAGTTGAATATTGATACTAGAAATTGATTACTTTTAGATGGTTTCAAGAACCAATCAAAATATAACTGGTGTATGAATGTTATCTACATTAGCTAATTAACCTGTACATCAGTTCACAAAATTTTGTTAATTGGTATTGGTTTGGTTGTGGTGTCAATGTACATTAAGTGTGTAATATAGTATTTTGTGCATAATTGATTCTTCAAATTTTTCACAGGCAATGAAATGATGATTTTTTAAAACAAAGATAATGAGAAAAAAAACACCAAAAAACAGAATGAGAATTTGACAATAATTTGTTTAGGATACGAGAAGAAATTTGTATGGATATATGCAATGTTGATGATAAATTGTTTAATGGCGAATCAATGTCCATATAGAGTTCACTTGACAAATTCAATTAAAAAAGATAATTTTGTAAACTGAGAATTCCTATTTTTTGTCGCTGTGTATTCTAATATATCTAATGTTTACTTATTGTGTTTAATCGAACTACATTTGAAACATCTTTTTTTTTCAAAACTGAAAATTTTAAATGTCACTAAATATGAGACATATTAATAAATTCATTAAATTTCTTGAAGACATTCTTAATAAGTAAATACTTTATAGTGTTTTAAATGGGGTAGTCATTAAAACAAAATAGTGAAAAGTGGAATGTATGATATAATTTTCTTGTATTTTGTGCGTGTGTACACTAACTGAAATACTATATAGGTAGCTATTGTATAAAAATGTTGACTTTGTACCTAACACACTTAAAAGTAAACATAACTTCCTGTCCACTTTTATAAACACCAGTGGAGAGACTCCATGTGAAAAATACGTTGTCTCTATAATGTGATCATTACACATATTTGAAATGAGTTTAGATCAAATTATTCATTAAAAGCTTCCATAATACTTCATATATATTGGGTTGTGCATCAGTGGATTTCTATTGTAAAATCATACAGTTGTGATTTTCAAATTGATGAAATTCATATCTAATATCACATTCAGCATGTTAGAGCACATAAAACATCATTGTCATTTTCCTGAAATTTTAAAGACAATTCTTAATAATTCTTCCAAAATTGATTTCTCTACATGTTTTCAGTTATTACATGTATCAATAATACTCTTTTAGATAGAATATCTTTCTTTTTATAAATCAGGATTATAGCATGCTATTTCTTATTAAAGGGTTTTTTCGTAAACATTAAGAGATGTTTTGAGTTATTTACCAAAGTATCAATATTATATATTTCTTTTACTGATAATTTGAAATCATGTTTAGATATGTCAACACTATGTACGTATTTATGGTCAGTCTTCTTTCTATTGGATCTGTATTTTAATAGGATATCATGATATCAAAATACCATCATTGACTTCATACCACAGCACAGAAAGCAAGAATGCATGCAACTCCAAGCACAGTCCACAATGGAAGGTGGAGTCATGTAATTTATCAGGTTAAAATGATTTTTCTGGTTTTCATTCTTAATTTCTTCACTTTTGACTCCTACAACAAATATCATAACTAGAGGAGTCACAGAAAGATAAAACCTACTGACAGCTGTATGAATGGATGTTGTTGCTTTTATCAATCCTCACACAAATTGTATAATGAGGGTGTCAAAAAGAATTTACTACGATGTACAAAAATTTTAATGTAAGCTATGTCACTGAATTCATGCTTGAAGATGTGTTCTTTAAGTATGTGCATCTTTCCTAAAATGTTTCTCAGGTCATGAACACAAGCATCTGCCTGCAGATAGACCTCTAGACTGATGCACTCACAACTATGCTACATTATGGAATCCAAAGTAACAACTACATTTCTCTAGTATTAATGGATTCATCTGTGTGATATGAAATTTTCATGGAAGATTTTTAGCCTCACAATACATATATGTGTGTAGCTTTCCATCATGAAAGAATGACTGTTGGCAATTTTAAAGTGACAAGAGGGATTTGCAATCAGTTATTTTTAGATGATGATGTCATTCACCTCAAATCTGATGGTTTTCGAACAATGCGCCCGTATTCGATCGCAAGAATATTATGAAAATTAAAACATTTTGCAAGTTAAAGAATTCAATATAGACCATTCTTCTGTGCTATCAACAGTTAAATAAATTTTGTAAATGAAGTTAATTAGGGGGAAAAATTGAATCTGCATAGGTATCGTATGTCTTAATGGAAAATTGTAGTAGCTAAAAGTAAGTAATCATGATGATGGGACTTGTCACATTTTAGATTTAAAACTCTTCAAAATATGAGTGCGATGTGGTCAATTTGTGTTACAGTTCGGTAATTATGAGTTGATTTTTTCAACATTATGTTATTCTGTATATCAGTATGAATAGATGATGTTTTCTCTTCAATGTTTTAGTGGAAGTTGCAAATATTGGGGCTATGGATCTTACAATTATTAATTTGACACTATTCATGCAGTCCAAGCACAATTATTACCAACATCACCTCTGCTAATTTGACAATACACATGAATATTCCATGCTGTGTGCTGATTGCTTGTTGTGCAGATCTAGGGCAGCAAGTTGTGTAAGCACATGTTTGCACAATGTTACTATGAAAGAGATGAAAGAAATCAAACTGAAACGCTATGATAACTCACCAACAGGGTGACAGAGTATAACTGTAAGAGTTGATTATGATGGTCATTTAGAATTGGCCACCTGCTGTGAAATGATCATGACTTCTTGGAACTATTATTGCTTACCATGATGTCGCTAAGGTGTATGATCTCAACTCGATTACTATTCAATGTGTTCGAACTATCACTAGACAGAAAATTATTACTTTAAGTGAAAAAAGGTCATTGAGCTATTAATTAATTTGGACTGAGTGGAAGATAATAGTCTTATTTCTCAAAGAAAATCAAAATAATTGCATTGATCAAACATTCTCGCTTTGTGCATGTTCTTTTTTATGTCTTTGATCATAGTACAATAAACAAGTAAAAAATGTGATATTTGATGCAACCATCAATAAGATTCATTATGGTTACAAAAGCATCTAGTGATTTCCTGAAGCCAACAGATCTAGATCTAGGGAGGTTTTAGAAGGGAGAAAGGCTTGTTCTAACTGACTTGAAAATGTAGGAGGACCACTACAGTGTTAAATGTCAACTTACCATACCCATGTGAAATCCAGTTTGATGTTGCACCACAGGATCTTTGACCTATGTTATCAAACAGTGCCAAATCTTAGTCTTCACAAATTGTCTTTTCAAGAAGGAGGTTAGATTATTGTCAGGAACATTGGCTTTCAAAAGGTGTCGACATCCCAGAGTAAAACTATTATCATGAGTAATAGATGTTTGTGGACTTAGTCTTAGATATTTTTTTTGGCGCGGACTAATTCAAACTGAAATGGATAAATGTTGCCCTTTTTGAATGATATAAACCTGCTCACTTGCTAAGTTTAAGTTAGATCTCCAAACACATATTGATAAATAAAAAAAATTATAGGAATTGTTGTTTATCTGAACATTATCTATTGTTGAGTTTTGTTGGATAGAGTGAATGGTATTGTTGGAGATTTGCTGTCCTTTATTTTGGTTGTAAAGAAGTTAAGATGAACCTAGTAAATTGGTAGCTTGATAAATTAGATAAAACAGGAAATGACATAACCAGCTCACATTCAAGGGAGGTAAGTCTCCTCAATAATGGGTTTATTGGCATTTTAATGTAACAACTTTAGACTATATAGAGGCAGACTGGTCAGTGGACACTAATTAAATCAAACTGGTCAAAGAGATCACTTGTCTGACCTTAATTCAGTCTAGTGTGCTGATTGTCTGTCACCATGGTAACAGAAATAGTGGAGGAGTGATGGTCGTTTTATAAATGAGCTGCTTTACAAGAAGAGGCAAGAAATTTGATAACATGTATGACTTTCATAAATTATGAGGTGGTACAGCATATGGGGACACAGGTAAAGTATATTGCATAGTAAATCTTGGTATACAGGGGAAATACAGAGTCTACAAAGTGTGAAGGTACAAGGCAAGCACAGGCTACCAAGTGTGTGATTACAGAAGTACAGGCTACCAAGTGTGTGATTACAGAAGCACAGACTACCAAGTGTGTGATTACAGAAGTACAGGCTACCAAGTGTGTGATTACAGAAGCACAGACTACCAAGTGTGTGATTACAGAAGTACAGACTACCAAGTGTGTGATTACAGAAGTACAGGCTACCAAGTGTGTGATTACAGAAGTACAGGCTACCAAGTGTGTGATTACAGAAGCACAGACTACCAAGTGTGTGATTACAGAAGTACAGGCTACCAAGTGTGTGATTACTGAAGTACAGGCTACCAAGTGTGTGATTACAGAAGTACAGGCTA